GATGGGCTCCAGCCGCGCCGCCCCCGCGCTCTGGCTGGTCCTCGCGGTTCTTTTTCTGCGCGCTCCCAGAGGTGAGTGCTGGTGCCGGCGTTGGGAAACTTCCCCGGCTCAGCCCTACCCCTGAGGGAGCGGATCTTCCCCGGGAGTGTCTGTGCGATCGGGATCCGGCGGGGGGCAGGGGAGTCTCTCGTTCCGAGGGGAATCAGCCAATTCGGGTCTTCAGATCTCCGCCGCCTCGTGAGACTTGTTGAGTAAGGGAATCCCTCGGCATCGGGTCCCGAAAACTGCCTCGCGTTCCCGGGTGATCACCATGGAAACGCTGAGCCCGTCTGCGCGGTGGCGGTGTGCGAGTGCGTGTGTGAATGTAGATGGAGCCGCTGGGGCTTGCCGCTGTGGGCTCCCCTTCTCGGAGTCCTGGGCACGGCTCAGGGATCGCTAAAGGAGGTGCCCTCCGGTTGTTTGTCGAAGCCCAGAGGTTTCCCGCGGCGTTTTTTCAGGTTGCACCTCCCCCTCTCACAACCTGTATCTCCAGATGCTGCGGGATTTTCAATTCTTTCCCTCTACAAGTTCCCGCCACCTTCTTTACCTGCAATAGCGGGTTTTCCCGAAAGCGCGCTCCGCTGCTGGAACCTGGGACATCCAACTCCCCCACCGGCAGGACAGGCTTTAACTTGAAATGCAAAGAAATCGTTTCGCATCTCCGTAGCCCTCGTCTTCCCCCCTTCCAGTAGGGCAGGATCAGTCTCCATGGAGTAACTCTCTTCTCCCGCTCTCCTTCTCCCAGTCTTGAAGGAGGGCAACGGATGCCGTTTCCCTCAGGAAATAAAATTCCCTAAGAAAAGGTAATACCATTGTGCTTTACTGCTCCCTGAAAATATTCCATCTGACTCTCCAACTGGCTGAAAAGCTCATGAAATGTGGTTTGAAAAGCTCATCAAATATGGTTATTTGGGATCATTCATTTCTATGCACTTTGACCTTATTGCTGTTCTCTGAGTTCATTCCATGCATTCTTCTCTTTCAAAGCAGTGATTTGTCCAGAAAAAATATTCACCCCTCCGCCCCCCCCCCCATTTATGCTTAAAGCTCTTCTAGTGAGGGTAAGTGCTCATATAGTTGCCAACAGCACTTTAAGCAATTTCTCAGGCAACTGTGCTCAAGAGCGTATTAAGAATTAAGAGCAGAGCCTAGGTTTTGCCAGAGCAGCCTTCCCTACCCTGGTCCCCTCCAGAAGTACTGGACTATAATATTAATATTCCCCAGCTAGCATGGACATTGAGCATTAAAGTTCACACATGGGGGGAGACACAGGGTCAGAAAACTGATAGAGTTGCTGTGCCTTATTTGTTTCTCTTGTGGTGCAAATTGTTATAAAAGCCAAGAGCCAACAAGCCACATTCCTGCATTCTCGCTACAGTCCTGACTGATTTCAGAGCCACTGCTGAAGTCATATGAACAAGAGATACATAGCCAACGTGGATCCCTTAATACTAATAAACAGGATTGCATCAGGATGTAGTTGCCTCAATAATATTGAAGAAGTAAATACATGGAAGTGGGTCCCAATTATATTCTCAGCATCATTTTGCACAAAACTGATCCATGTGAGATCCTTGTTCTAAACCATAGATTATATCCTATGTTGAATTAAAGACATTTAATTCTCTTGAATTAAAGACATTATATCCTCCCTTTGAATTAAAGACATTTATGGGCTCAGAGCCACTGGGTCCATTTTACAGTACTGAATCACTCCTCCTGGTTCTCTTCATTAAAAGCAAGTTTATAGCAAGCAGGAAAGTTTATCATTGCCTGAAATCGTAGAGTGCGTGTTCAGTTGGGGAGAGAGGGCCATTTGATTGTTTGTAATACCCTGATTTTGCTATGACTGTGAAATGGAGAGCTATTTCAGTGAAGGAAATTGTGTTGCACAAGATGGCATATGGAAGATTCTCCTTGTGGCCAACAGAGGGGGAGAGAAAACATAGGCGTATTGTGGGTGATGGACCCAAAATCTGTTGCGAGGGAGAAATTTCATTCTTAAAATGAAGTGGAAGCTTATGGCTGGATCACCATGTCAAGTTGATGAAGAAATAGGAATTAGCATAGAAGGGAGGAGAGGTGTCCCAGGTCACAGCCCAAGGGAGGAGGAAACCAGATTTGTAAGGAGTCCCTTGTTTCCTTCCCTGTCATCCCCCATTCTGGGACCTAACAGGGCAGGGGGTGATGTCATGGTATCTCTCAACCATCTGCTGCTTCTTCAGCAGGAAATCCTGTAACACAGAACCTGGGGGAGTTCTGATAAAGGGTGCCCAGGGGGTTCAGCATCTTTTAATGGACTGATTACTGCTCTGCCCTCACATCAGACAGAGGAGCAGGTGGGGATAGCAGAAGAAGTTGGTTTATGGCGGTTGCATTATAACCACTGATACAGATTTATGTGTGTGCATGCGTGTGAGAGAGATTCATTGTTGGACCAAGCACTTTCCCACTGTGCCTGCGGCTGCTAACCTCAATATGATATAGTGAAGTCTGGATCCTTTCTTATCCTTGCTCATCTGGCATAAATCGAGGATAGGATCATATAGGCAGCCAGTTTAACTCATGGTATTCTACGGTCAAAAAAGTAGTGTTGTAATTTATATGTAATAACAACACAATTTTAGTGAATACATCTCCTGCAACAGTTTAGAAAGCTGAAAATGCTGTTTAAGAGCTAACCCAAAAACCTAAGATAAACTAGAACTTGGTAGTCTGGCACTTTGTCCCTAGCGTGGATTGCCAAATGTCTTGGAATTCCCACAAGCATCGCCTTCTCATCTTGCCCAGGCTCTGGTCTTAAGACATATACTGTATCTGATCCAAGAGCTAATGCATAAATATCAAGACTACAGTAATCACCATTGATAGCCTTAGCCTTAATGACTTTATCCTCAGGTTGGCTTTTCAACTGACTGTCAACACTGGCTTCCAGCCAGGTGATGCTGAACCTATGCCTGCTTTACCTGAGTTTCAAAGAGCGACAACTATGTCAATGACTGTTAGGCAGACATTCATATTGCTCCAGAGAGTAGAAGGAAACCTAAGAGGTGGAAATTTCAGGAAGGTAGTCTTTCACTAAATATAAGGAAAACTTTCCTGAAAATATAAAATGTTCAACAATAGGACAGACTGCTTGAGGAGACGGTGAGATCTCTTTTGCAGAAGGCATTTAAGAAGAGGCTAGATGTCCAAGTATCTTGGATTAGTATCAGTTATATCTTGCATTATAGGACCTGTGTCAAGCAGTGGGTAGGATTAAATGATTCCCAGGTTCCATTGCAGCAGTGTAGAACTATTATTCTACTCCTAAACTGGGCAATCATAGAAAAGCATAAACTTGGTGGTTTGGATAGTAATTGTAGTTAAGTAGAAGTCCACATTGCATTGGTCTGTATCTTTTCCTGTTACAAAGGATGGTAGCTGCAGGGGATCAGTACAGGCATAAAGTCTGTGAGCATGGGTGTAGTGTGGTCTAATGGGCTGTGAGAATAACCCATTTATGGACTATACCTTTGCACTTGGACTTGTACCACATCTGAAGTTTGGGTTTCTATTAACATAAAACATTATCATATTACATCTTGCCTGAGTCATGATAAGAAGGACAGATTTTTCCTGATTAGATAGCAACTCCTTTTAATTGTTCATGTCCATAAGCACAACTGTAATGGTTGTGTACTGTTTGATGCTTTAATCCAAAAAGTGTCATTGAAAAATAAAAGCAGCAGATTTGAGATG